CCACGACGTCCACTGGAACAGCAGCAACCCCAGGTAGCGCCCGCCGCACCGGGGCCGCCCCCGGCCGCCCCGCCGGGGCCCCCGGGCGGCTCGGGCCGCGCTGCACCGGGAGCCCCGGGAGGCGCCGCTGCCGCCGCCGCTGGGGACCTGCGCAGGGGCCCTCCGCCCCCGGGGGTCCCGCCGGGCTCGCGAGGCCGGGACGAGCCGGTGGGGGGGTYCGGAGCGCCGAGCTGCGCTGCTCCGAGCCCGGAAAGGTACCGAGGCGGGTACCGAGGCGCTGGGAGCCCTCGCGTGGCACCGACCGGGGGCTCCGAGCCACTGGGCTCCCGCGGGGGGCATCGACTGGGGGCCCCGAACCATGGGKAAATAGCAGAGGGCACTGGGCACCCTTGGGTGGCCCCAATCGAAGGCTAGGAGCCCTCCAGGGACACCACCCGGGGACACCAATTGGGGGCATCTGGGCACCCTGGTGTGACCCCAAAAGGATCCCCAAGTTACTTGGACCCCCAGAGTGACCCCAACCAGGGGGCATCAAGGCACTGAGCATCCCTGGGTGCCACTGACTAAGGAACTGTGGGCAGTGCTGGGTGGCACTGAAGCAGTGCRATCCCCTGCGTGGCCTGGGGTCCCATGGGCACCCAGCTAGTGGTCACCCCTGGGTGACACCAGTCTGGTGGCATCCCTGACCAAGATGCTGTCTCCAGGACTGGTGGTCCCATGTGCAGCATCTAAAGTGCAGCAGATGAGCGCGCACACGGGCTGGGTGGAGGGTGCTGATGCCACCACGTTCTGGGCACAATCCCGAGGCCTTGGGACTCCTTGCCCCACTTGGGCTGACTGAGGAGCAGCCCGGGCAGTGCCAGGATCCCTGTCTCATGTATGTGATGGGTTTGCCCAGCCTTGGCTGCCATGGGCATCACCGAGCTGGAGCAAGCGCAAGTGCCAGCAGCGCCCAGCTCCRCGCCACCCGGCAGGTTCCTGCGGGACGACTACGCCGTGCAGGTGTCCATCAATGAYCACCTGGACATCTATTGTCCCCACTACGAGGGAGTGGTGCCGGGCGGGCGCCCCGAGACCTTCACGCTCTTCATGGTGGACCGCGAGGGCTATCGCGGCTGCTACGCGGCGCCCAGCGCCTTCAAGCGCTGGGARTGCAACCGGCCCCACGCGCCCTTCGGGCCCGTGCGCTTCTCCGAGAAGATCCAGCGCTTCTCGCCCTTCCCGCTCGGCTTTGAGTTCCAGCCGGGGGAGACCTACTACTACATCTGTGAGTGCCCGGCGCCGGGGGGGCCGCGGGCACYGGGGGCTGCGGGCGCTGTGGGGGCCAGGCCAGGCATGCCGGAGAGCTGGAGGAACCGGGAGCCTGGGCATGCCGGGGCCTGGATGCACCGAGGTCTGGGCGCACCTGGGATGCGGGCGCCCTGGGGTCTGGGTGTACCTGGGAGTTGGGTGCCCCGGGGTCTGGGTGCACCTGGGTTGTGGGTACATGGCAGGCTCTGGCCGTACAGGTGCCTGGGTACTCTGGGCGATGCTCTGGGGTCTGGGTGAACTGGGATCCGGGTGCCTCGGGATCTGGGTGCACCTGGGAGCTGCAGTCTGGTGCACCCCAGAGTTGGGTGCAATGGGAGCTGGGTGCAACTTGTATGGGGATGCATGGGGAGCTCTGGACGTATGGGGTCTTGGATGCACTAGTGGGTCTGGGTGACCTGGGATCCTGGTGCCACCAGGATCCAGGCACCGTAGAATCTGGATAGATCGGGATCCGGGYGGTGGGTGAAGCGGGATTCGGGAACCTCGGGCTCTGGATGAACCGGGGGTCTGGGTGTCGCCGGCTCTGGCCGCCGCGGGGCTGGGGGGCCCCGTTCTCGGTGCCGAGCGCCGGGCAGCCAGGAGGGGGCGCCGCCCGCCCAGGCCTGGGCCGGGGCCGGTGCCGGTGCCGTCCCGGGCGGGCGAGCAGGGGCCCGGGCGGCTCCGCGCGCCCTCACGCGCCGCCTCGGCCCAGCCGTGCCCGGCCCCGAGAGCGCCGGGCGCTGCCTGAAGCTGCGGGTCTCCGTCTGCTGCAAGGGCACGAGTGAGTGCGGGGCGGCCCCGGGGTGGGGGACCTGGGGGGTGCCGCCCCGCGGCTCTCACGGGCGCCCCCGGCTTTCCTTGCAGCGCCGAAGCCGGCGACAGAGCTTCCCAACTCGCAGCCACGCGGAGGGCCGGAGGGTGAGTATGGGGCTGGGGGCGTCAAACGGGGGAGCAAACACCCCCCCATAACCCCTGCTCGTCTCCGCAGCAGCCGCGGTGCCCCCCGGGCGCGCGGCCGCGCCGGCCTCGCTGCAGCCCCGCGCCCCGTGCCTGGCCCCAGCGCTCCTCACCCTGCTCTGGATGTGACTGCCCGGCGCCGGCGGCCGCCCGGCTCCTCCGCCACCGCGCCGGACGCTCGCCAACGTTCCTGGCCGCTGCCTGCCCAAAGGGACCATGAGCCACCCTCCGGCCCCCCACGGGACCCAGCCGGGGCCGGGAGCCGCTGGCAGGGAGGTGAGCGGAGCTGCTGGCACCGCGTGGCGCCCCTGTCCCGACGCCGATGTCCCCAGCCTGCATCTGGCGTCCCCTTGAGCTGTCCCATTCCCRCAGGGACCTTGCTTGGAGCGCCCACCCCGCCGCAGAGCGAGCGCATCCCACGGGCCCTCGTCTCGTCCTCCAGCCAGGACACGGATCTGTCTTCCGCGAAGACGCCCCCCCCCCGCCCTTTCCCTTCCCTTCCGCCCCCTCCTCGTGCCGTTTGCCCCCCGCACGGGTCGGGGTTGACCCCTGGTAGTGACTGAGCGGAGCAATAGAGAGTTTGCAAGATGGCCTCGTCCTCGGGCGCCGCAGCCGCAGCCGCGCGCGGGGAGCGCACCGCGGCCGTGGAGCCCGGGGGGGCGGCAGCGCTGCGGGGGGGATGCTCGGGGCTGTGACGCAGGCGTCCCCAGTGCCCGGCACCGYGGCCACCGTTTGTGGCTTTGCCGGRGCCACCACCCAGCACGGGGCCGAGCGTGGGGCAGGCTGGGGGCCCGGCGTGCGCGGCAGCCGCGTCCCGGCGCCTCCCGGCGCGCTGCCATCCATAACCGCTAATTGACGGCGCGGCTGCTGCAAATCGCATTGCTTGGCCCCACTACCGTGTTGCCGGCTCCGTGCCCCGCGRGGCAGATCCCGGCTCCCGGAGGAAGAGGCTCCATCAGCCCAGCCGTCTCCCCGCAGCGCCCAGGCTGGGTGGCACCGGCGCGGGGGCCACGGTGGCCGCAGCGCCGCATGCAGCAGCGCGCGCTGCATGGCCGCTCCGGCTGCGCTCCAGCTCCGCGCTGACCTACAAAGAGCAGCAGGAGTGGGATGCAGCGGTGCTGAGTCAGCGGGTTCTCCCGCCGGAGACACTCGCGCTTCCCCGTGCACGGAGCGCTGGGGCCGGCAGCGGGCGGCGCTGCCTGGGGCCGAGGGGGAGGCAGAGCCGCGCCGGAGCATCCGCCGGGAGAAGAGATGGGAAAATGGCTGTGTGTCACTATGGAAACGGGGCCGCCGGATGCGGCTCCGCAGAAGGGAGAGGCGCGAGCCGAGCCCGGKCTTCGCCTGCCGCCGCTCCCGCCCTGCCGGAGTCGCTGGAGCCGCCTTGGCACCCTGCTGCGGAAGCCGGCTCTGGGATGCAGCGCCCGGGCTGCACCGCGCAGCAGCGCCYGGGCTGCTCCGTGCTCTGGTGTCGGGGTGCTCCCTGCTGCGGACCCTGCTCCSCGCTGCAGCACCTGGGACACCTCGTGTCTGCTCCTGTGCAGGTCGCCAACGCGGTGGCGCTTGTGCCCAAGCTGACGGGCAACCCGGCGGCGCCTGCTGCCTGCTCAGGGCTGCCGGGGCTGCTGCGGGCACGGCGAACGGGGCAGGGGACACAGGCATAGGGCACAGTGCAAGGGGCAATGGCCACAGGTGTAGGGCACGTGTGGGGCACCTGGCACAGGCCCAGGGTGCAAGCATGGGGCACAGAGCAAGGGTATGGGCACCATGCACAGGCATGGGCACAGGCTTGGCACAAGGGACACGGGCGCAGGCTGTGGACAAGGGACATGATGCAGAGGGCACGGGCAGGGGCAGGTCTCGCACCTGCGGCCTGTGCCCGCTTTTAAGCCCCCCCATCCTCACCCCCCMCACACACTAATTGGTTTTAAATGGAGCCAAGTCCATCCTGGGAATCTCGGGCTGGCACATGCCCAGCTGGCAGCGCGGCGGAGCCGCAGCTCGGCCCCCGGTGCTCAGCAACGCACGCAGAGGAAGATTAGGAAAAATAACGGCTCGGTGCAAACGCTACGGCGTTAACCCCCGGCACGCTGCGCCGTGCCGTGCACCCCGCGGCGCCGTGTGCCCGGGCACCCGCGCCGCCGCCGCCCAGGCCTCTGCTCTGCAGAGCCTTTTACCAGCGATGCATTATTAAAAGCACCGTGCAGAGCACGGGCACTGCAGCGAGCCTGATAAATATTGCAGGCCCTGAAATCTCCCCGTGCCCCTGGCTCTGCTCGCGGGCACCCACTGCCACCCTCCAAATGCGCCCAGTGGATCCCTGCGCCGCGCGGGGAGTGGGGCCGCCCGGCCGGGCGCTGGCGGCGGCGGCTGCTAATTGTGCCGTGATCTATGGACGGCGGCAGCGGGATATTGATGCCGCCTGTCACCCCTCTATCGGATTAACGTCACTTAGGCACTGGTAATGGGTGGCTCACGGGCTCAGGCGGCACCGCTGGGCCTGGCGCTGGGCTCTGGTGCGCGACGGCGCTGGTGCACCGATGGGGGTGCACAGTGCACCCAACGGGGGTGCAACCAGCTCAGGGCAATGTAGGTGCAAGCTCGTACCTACATGGGTGCATGGCGGTACCGATGTCGGTGCATGGCAATACCCATGGGGGTGCAAACTGGCACAGCTGGGGTGCAAGCTGGCACAGATGCCCGTGGGTGCAAGCGCAGCAGTGTCGGTCCCATACGGATGCCCACGGCCACCGTGCGGATGCAACGAGCCCTGTGCGGACCTCCCCACGCAGGAGCCGGGTTTCCTGCCAGACGGGCCGGTGCCCATGGGAAGTGGCGGAGCCGGGAAGGGCCGCGTGACTCAAGCCGGCGGCGGCTCCGGGAGGCTGATTCCCTGCGACAGCCCCGCGCGGCGCGGCCGCCCGCAGCCCCGCTCCGGGTGCCAAGCGGGTTCGGGGCCGGGTGCTCCCCGGCAGCGGGAGCTGCCGGAGACGCTGACGCGACGCGACCATCCGTGAGGCCCTCATTCAAATTTAAAGGCCGCCAGGTGGGGAGGGCCCTCCCGAGCGCCCCGGCTCCTCCCCGGCCGCGCGGCCGCAGGGAGCGGCCACGGGGGAATATTTCATGCCCTCCTCCTCCTCCTCGCGCTCCCGCCATGTTTATTTATTTAATGAATTATTTATTGCCGCCCGCCCCCCCCTGCCGTGCACCCGCGCGGCCGCTGCTCCGCCGCCATCCCCCCTCGCCGCCCGTGCCCGGCCCAGCGCGGTGATTTATCGAGCGCTGCCTCCGCGCTGCGGTTGCGAGGGGCTGGCGCAGGAGCCGCCGCTCCGTGCGAGAGCAGGGCGGGATGCCCGGAGCGGGGGGCGCAGCCCGCACCGGGAAGGGGGGGTYGGACCTGGGGGGGCCACGGCCTCCTCCAAGGGATGCTCCGGAGGGTTTGGCRCCGGTGCCGCCCCCACGGGCATTCCCGCTGGCACGGCGGGTGCTCCGGCGCTCTGGGGGGTCCGTGCGGGAACGCCGTGCAGGTGGCTGCGTGTTGCCATGGGCTCGCTGAGCGTTTCCATGGCGGCAGCCGCCTGTTCCTTCCCGGCCGGAGCGGCGGGAAGGCCGYGGGTGCCGGGGCCCGTCCCCGCACGCTGGGTTGGCTCCCCTTGCCTTCCCTGCGTTAATAATTAAGAGCGGCTCTTTGCGCTTTTGCCGGCCCCTTGCTCCATCCATGGGACCGAGAGCCGGCCGGACCTGCTGCTCCGGACACCTGGGCCCCGCAGCCGGTGGGGCAGGGAGGCCGTGAGCATGCCCGCCTGCCCACGAGCCCACACGTGTGCTGAGCGCGGTGGCCTCGGGGCGGTGCCGGCGGCAGGGGCTAAGGGAGCTGCTGGCACACGGAGCTGCCGGCAGCACAAGCGCCCGCGAAGCCACCCCAGCCACGTGCCTGGCGAGACCCCATGCATGGGGACCAACTGGGAGCCCAGAGTTCCCGGAATGCACCGGGACTGGAATCACAGCGCTCCCACCCACAGGAACGCTGTGCCCTGGGCCCCCACCCACGTGGATAAACCAGGAGTGGGAGCCCAGGGCTGCCATCCAYGGGGCTGCATCAGGACTGGCACCTTGGTGCTGCCATCCATTGGAATGCTGCCTTCCAATCCTTGGCTCCCACCTGTCGGGATGCCGCAGGACTGGGAGCCCCGCATTCCCACCTACAAGAGCACAGGGGAATGGTGATCCTGGTGCTCCCAGCCTCAGGAACACTGTGTGCTGATCCCAACTCCCACCCACAAGGTTGCATCCGTACCGGGGCCCCAGTGCTCCCCGCCACGGGGTGTTGCACTGGGACCGGGACCCTGGTGCTCCCACCCCTGGGGACGCTGCATCCTGCCCCTGGGCTCCCGTCACCAGGATGCACCAGGACCGCCGCGCTCCCCTCCCCCGGGATGCACCGGGATTGGGACCTGGGTGCTCCCCGCCACGGGGACGCTGCCCCCCACCCGATCCCGTGCGCGGGTCCCCGTC